GTCAAAGACACAACCACATAGCTTGAACCAACACTTGATGCAACATTGGTATTTCCTCCTGTGGGTTATTCCCCAGCTGGATTTATAGGATCTACCATTTTTCTACCACTCCACAATCTCATGCACTGAATGAGATGCACTTAACACAAACCTGTCCCAACGGGTGTGCCAATTTATTTGCAAGGGTTTCTCTCGAACAATCTCTAGCCTCTTACTTAAATGTTATTTACAGAACCGACAACAAGAGTCAAAGTTTTAGTGTTAAGTTTTGTATGGTGTTTTGGGATTAGAAAGAAGAAAAAAGGTTTAAAAAACACATATAAAGATAAATTTACAAGAATGATAAACCAGACAGAAAACTTGAAACAAATTGCTTTGAATTTAAAGATGGACACAAGCATACATTTCTCAGAAGTAACTCGTTTATCTTTTAACCCATATACTTTGAGTGTTTTCTTACAATGTTATAAAATGTGACCTTTGATATGAATATAAAAACTTGCTTAAATACTCAAACAAAGGTAACCATTATCCTACACATTTGACGGTTATTATAACCACGTTTGAAGTTTTTGATAAAATTTCCTTTTTGAACCTTCCCACGTTCTATTGGTAACCGTCGATGAAAGTTTCTTTAATGTTAAATGCTTTATGTATTTGTTTTGGCTTTCAAACCCTTCATCGATTTGGCTCCCAACCGACCGACTTCAAGCCATTTCGACGACCCAACTTCAAAACTCTATGAATTTTGTTAATTCTCAAAGGGAGTTCTCTTCAGTAGCCTATCGACGCCTCTTATCTCACCATGGGTCGTGTCGAAAATACTTTCTTCTTGATGATGACCCATAGCTTATAATCACTTCTCTTGGTCGAAAAGTGTTGGCTAACACATAGTAGGAATAGATATAATATTAAAAAAATTCACTTATCTCATTCAATTTATATCTATGTTTGTTAGCTTCCTAATACTTTAAATGGTTCATTAATTGGATATACGGTTAAAAAGTTATGAGGTAAAACATCAAAGTATGTCATAGTTAAAAACAACATATGAACAATTAAATACAAGTATGGTAAAGTAGATACATGGATAATATTCAAACCTCTCACTAAATACTACCATGTTATACCTTGATTATTATCTTTCTAATGCTTCGAACAATGAGTCATTTGGACATGCACATCAAAAGTTATGATTAAAACATTTTTCATAAAAAAATTTCAAAAATTCCAATTTTTCATTGTTACGAGATTTTCCTTCAAACCTCCTCTTTAACCCCTTAACCAACATCAGTTGGATTAAAATTAATCTCCATAAGTTGTCTAACAATAACAACACATACATAATAGTAATTAACATCAATCTATCAATTTTATCATGATTAAACTACTTAGATGCATGCCCTAATTCATCCAATATTCTATCAATGTTTATGGATTCTCATTATCTCAAAGGCTCAACATCAACATATCATCAAGACAACAATGTAAGAACAAACCCTAACACATTTAAACCCATTTCTCTACTCTAACTCACACCAATCGTTATTGAAATGCAATAACCCACACTTACCTTTGGTTTTTCCAGAAATTCTTCAAGCCTTCAATGGAGTTCCTCCTATGCCCTAGCTCTCCGCACTTGTTTTCACGTACTGTCAAAAAATTAACTTCTGCCACTACTTTTTATTTTACTTTTAATTCTTCTAATTATTCTTTTCCACTTCTACCCTCACTTACTCCTATAACTCTATATTATATCTCCATTATTCTCCCAAATGTCAACCTTACCCCTTATTTCTCTATACATCTTATTTTAATTATTAATTAAATGTTCCAATATATTTATCCAATTAAATAAATATATTTTTATTATTTAATCACCAAAAATAGCTCTAAAAAATTCTACTAATTTCTATACCACATACTTATTTTGATTAAATATGTCACAAAAATAATAATTACTCTAATTATTAAATAATTCTCATAATTTTCCAGTACTGCACTCATCTCTAATATTCTCTTTTTATTGATATTTTTTTAATTATAACCATCCAACTAACAACCCAACAACACATCAACATAAAATCACATAATATTCGCAATAATTCATAAAAACACAAATTCTAGATTTAGGGTGTTACACTAAGATGTCATATAAGATGTTCCAAATATCTTGCTCAACAAGTTGCTTACAACCAAATCTTTCTGTCAAGAAACTTTAGCAAAAACATTAACTGAACAAACATTGAACCAAATATGAAGTTTATGATAATCCAAATAATGTGGCATTCATGCTAAGATGTCACGCAACATATTCCAAACATCTTGCTTTCCATTTTTACTATAAAAATAAGTCAATCAAATGAACAACACCTCTGAATCTTATACCTCATCTGGATTTCACTTAAACACTCTCTCCAGTGTTTATACAATAACACAAGTATTTAAAGAGATGTGACTCAGCTACAATATAAAATCTATATTCTCCTAAACTAGATAGGCAATGTAAGATTTCAATATTACAAAACAAAACACAAAGACTCAATAAAAATGTCAATCTAAAAATGCAAGGTATGAGTATTCATAAAGGATAACTCCTCCTTAAATAACAATAATTTCTCAGCATACAAAGGCTCGGTAAGATTTCAGCGTGTGAGAGGATGGAAACCAAAAAGTGCATAAAATATCAATCTTCATGACGTTGATTTGCAATCTTGATTGAACCAAATTCAATTAAATATGAAACATATATGAATAAGAACTTCAATCTTGCTAAAACAAATTCAAGATAAATATTTTCCAAATGAGAATGTACTTTTACAATTAGATCTTTGATTGGACAGAAAAGGAAACAAATCTTGAAAGCGATATACACTCAATAAAAACCTGTGCACCAAGTATATAGCTTTAGACATGATTTCTCGTATACGGTCAGAACAAATGGCTTAACATTTTGTTTTCCACTAATGCGCTAGGAACCACTTCAAGAAATAATGTCTTGCATATTGGAAGAACATCTTGCTTATGTTGCCTACAAAATACTGTCAATCACGTGTAATAACAAACTCCACTCGAAAACAATTTTTAGGAAAACATAAAATATGCAATATGTTATGCACATTCTTACAAACAATCTTCTAGATAGATATCATATTTAAATAGAACATACATAAATGTTACGTACTTCCTTACAGACTGAACATTTTCACCACCATACATTATAACTTAATGGAGCAAGCAAAAAACATGTAAAATAGAGACTACATCTGATAATGGAAACAATTTCAATAAACAAGGAAATGTGCTTACTCCCCTTAATTTCCTTAAATGAAAAAAGAGGGAGAATTAGTCAAGCTCTTAAGGGAATAAACTATAACGACAATAATTCTGCCCAACAAGGGGCTAAAACACCCAAGATCATAGAAATCCATCCATCACAATGGAAAAAGAAACACTAATAAAAATAACCCTTATAAGGGAAAAGAGAACAAAATAATTATTTTGACATACATATGGCTTACAAGAACAGATCGCCAAAAGAGTATAATAAATCTAACATTTTTCATAACCAAATAGAAAATCACTGGGAGGAATCAATAATATCAGCATTAGACTCAGTCTCGTACTCCATCTCTTCTTCTCGTTGCTAATTTCTCGATATTCATTCCCACCTAATGTTCCAACATATTTCTCAAGATGTTGAACTTCATAGTAAAAAATAGATGAACCAGCAACCTTTGAGTTCGTCATTTGGATAAGCTCTTCTACCACACTTTATCTCATGGTGGAGGTAGTTATTATTTATTTTAAGGATTTAGATTATGGCCTAAGAAAACTAAGAAGGTAACTTCTAATAGGCCTAGACATGGTTGATAGTTCAAGAACAATATTACCAACAACCATATCAGATTCATCAAAATTGGTAAAATTAGGGAGAACAATGTCTAGGACATGTTTCCTAACAAATAGCTTGTATCTAAAATTCAACTGACTAGGGGTAACACCAATTTCAACTTCAACAGTCATAATATCATGTTTTTGTTTACTAAAAATCCCACATATAAAGGAAGTAAACACAATGTGAAGCTTAACAACATCAGACTCAACATTTTATACCACTTACTCAAACATATATTCTCCAAAGTCAAATGCAAACCTAGTTCATGTTTGATAAAGTAAACTAGCAAGACCCTGAGTAATACATGGTCCATGATTGGAAGATGCCCATTTGGTAACTCTGATCTTGTATAGGATGGCATATTTGACACTTAAGTTTGATGCAATAAGCAGACCCTTGGGTGGCCAACCATCATGGATGTTACTGGTAATCTCTCGTGAAATTATCTTCATAAAAGGTACACGGTCAACAATGATAATTTTACATCTTCCTAGGTATTCATTAATGATAGCGGGATAAAAACCAAAGCAATGTCCATGAATATGGAATTTTTTATACTCTTGAATTCCTGCATCATTGAAACCTTCGGGAAGGTTTACAATGAACTCTTTCACGGGTCTTGGATAAAACAGGCCAACATTGATAACAGTCTTCATGACTTATTCATCATTCAATAAATCTATAATTTCATATCACTTTTTAGCTTCTTTGTACAACTCTCTATATAGTTATGCATTTGTGATAGACATACTTCCACTTTAGAACATGTTCCTCATAATGGAAGGGAACATTATTTAGGGGCACAACAAGAATATTTTTGGGAAGATTCTTCCAACCTACTACTCTCTTACTCCTTTTAAAAATATGTACCATCATATTATTCAAAATTTCTGTAACATCCTTTTCAACTAATTCCTTCTCAACAACTTTCTTTCTTTTCAGAACTACATTCTTCTACTCTAAAGTGGAATTGCTCTTTATTGCATTCTTCTTCCCTTTATTAGAGAACTTCTTATTCTTTAAAATTTATGGTTTTCCTTTGTACTTATTTTATTTTTACTTGAGAAATCATACTTCTTGGTGGTGGTAGAATTTTTGGGCTTCAAAGTATACTTTTTCTTCTCAAACGTCCTTTGGGCCTTTTCCAATTTCTTTTAGAGGTTTCAGCTTCAACAACAACAGGAACAACATCTTCAACATTGCCAATGAAATTTTCATTGACATCTAGAATCTTAAGGTTTTGATCTTCATAACTTACATATTCTTTATATTCAACAAGTCCTTCAAATATATCAATGACATCCTTCTCCATATCATTTTGACTTCTCTCAACATTAGGAGCCTCAACCTACAATTGTTGTTAACAATAATAGGGACATACTTACTATTTGTTACATCACCTTGAAAAATGACACCTATAATGTCACTATTATATATCCTTAGAACTTTAGTAATATTTCATTACTTCCTTCGATTTCAGAAGCCACTTGGTTGTAGTCTTCCTCCCATTCATTTCTTTCTTCAGTATCCCCAATACCTTCTTCAGACACATTCTCATCAACTCAGACACATTATCTTCATTTTGAGGAATGTCATCTTTATTGTTGCTAACAAATTTAATCTTTTCTATGCCATAATCCTGATTTTCTTTAATCTCCTCCACACTAGAATATTCTCCTTCTACGAAAACCTCATACATGTTGTTTTTGACATCATGGACAACATTCTAACAAATGACATTTGGGTCAATTTCCCCCGTAGTTCCACTTACATGGTTATCAAGAACGATACTTTCAATAAAGAGTTTGTAAATTATGTTTTCACAAGGTGGATTATCGCAAGCATTAAGAGTTTCTATAGTCTGAGTAATGTTGTCAGATTCTTCATGCACAACATCACTGGTTTCAATACTAGGTTTCGTGGCCCAAATAACATCCTTAGGGGTATAAAAAATTTATGCTTTAGTGGGTTTAGAGGACTTACCTTAATCTTTGTCATTATAAACCATTTTAAGAGGTACAACATGCAAAATAACATATGATGGTTGGCTTTCTTCCTTTGCTTGAGGGTGAGTAGACTCTTTGGTGTTTTTAGGTTCCTTCTTTGTAGGTATGGTTTATAAATCTTTACTAGTTAAGTGGCCATTGTGAGAGGGGCTCAATCACATAACTTCTTAATTTTCTTCTATTTATAATATTCAATGGAGTGGATTTGGGCTTCACATAAGCAGCTGGATATGAAAGCGGCATGCAAAATTATCTCCTCAAAGATAGGACATCAATCATTAGTTTCCTAAATTATCTCTATAATTAGAAACTAAGAATTCTCCTTGAAATTAGCTTGAATATTTTTAATCTTCAAACTATGTGCCACATAGGATAGCATTATATTTATAGAATATTCTACACGTGTACCAAACTAAAATATCCAATAATCTAGGTGTACAAAATCACGATTTCGGAAGAAACTGCATAGGACATCGCATTCGATATGTTTCTCCAGTTGATAGAACATCTTATTTCAACATGTCTATGCTAAGTTAGTTTTACCAAACATAATGCCAATCATAACAAAACAGAGAATTAACAATCTCTCATTTTGGCTTATTTTGGCTAAAACAACTTAGTACATCTTCCATACATAAACAACAATACAGCTCTGGATTGAAAAGAAACTCAAACACACAAACAATTGGAGGCACAACAGAAGAAGTCAGTATAACAAATATCATAGAAACAACTAGTGAAAGCCACTCAACATAACAAATAAGGGAATACCAAATTCTCAACATGTTAAGACATCATGTTTGATAAATCTTTACATCAGTCCAGTCCAGAACACAAAACCTGCTATGTACCACTTTAGAGAATAACACTTTCATTACTACACAGCACACCCATGATGAAGGAAGAAAATCCTAAAGTCATTTGGTGTACACGAGGAAGAAGATAAACTACAACTTCAAGAACAACCAAGGTACTCCCATCAAACTCAGAACTAATTCTTGACGAAGAGTCTCGGGAGAATTTTCCTATAGCCTCAAGAAACCAAGAAGAACTTTAACTTGAATAACCAAAGTTAGAAGACCATGTGACAGAAGCAACACATATTAGAAGATCATGTGACAGAAGTAAGAAGACACACCAAACCAGACAAGATGTTAGAACATCTTGAATGACATCTTGTATACACCCACCACATAAGACTTATCAGATGAAGTTCATAACCTCTTAATTGTTGAATGCAAGGAGAAACAACTTTTAGCAAGGAAAACAAGACTCAATGACACAATACTACTCTCCCCGTTTTTAGCCAAAATTGACAAGAGCTTAGTTTGAGCAAAAAGCACACACAGAAAAAGAGAAAACCGAGGGTAAACCAAAAGAGTAACACAACACAACCTGAGAGAAATGGACCAGTAAGGGGTACTTAAACATAAAGGAGGTTACTATAGATTACAATGATGCCTTTTTGTAACACTAAATTTGGTCAATGTAGGCAATTTCCAAGGAAGATAAGGCCATTCTTGTTTTCAGTGCACCACTCATTTCAGGAGAGAGGCAAGGATCTGATATATCTCTCTCTTTCCAAGTCTTGACTATTGAAATGTTCCAACAGTGGAAGTGGCATATTTTATACCTTTGAGAATATTTCTAACATGTCTCTAGATGAGGAGACAATGTAGTCACACCATCCATAAAAGCCCTCACTCATGCCCTTCTCACCTTTTGTGCATGATGTCATCCTTTTAGAGACTAAGCACTTCAAAATACAATTTCATGACAAGTAGTTAAACATTGCATCCTTTGGCAAATCCAAAGAATAGCCGAGTGCCCAACCTATTTCTCTTCACCATAGTCTTAAAAAAGTCATTAGACTTGGCCAAAAGTGTTAATCTATCATTTCTCTAACAAAATTTGCAACCAAAGTAAAGGGCTTTCTGAAAATAGACATAAGGACTAGAGAGTTTTCAGATATAGCTCATCCTGACACCTGGAGACATAGGCTGCTGAGTTGTTGTCCTAACACCAGCTTGGTCATAGGAATATTTCATAATGATCACCACACTTGACTTACTTCTGAAAGTGCATCTATAAACACCCAACACACATGGATGACCAAAACACTTCATGAAGAACCACATATAGCAGATGACCTCTTCACGTTAGTGATCTACCATCAAGTGTCTGAAATAGCCACTATCAAAATATCAATCCTCTCTCGTAGAAGCCATGAGATTGGTGTGAAATATGAGTCCACAAGTGTCATTCTTGGAAAACCTCTTAGACTTGGCTTTAACATCATCATGTATTATTCTATGTTATGTAACATGATTGTGATAACCATACAATGTATAGCATAAGGATTTTAAATGACTAAACCTTCAACAATAATCAAATCTCCATTACTGATTCTCACCTCCATTGTACTTTTTCTGATGTCTCTGTTGATATTGAAGCATGTCTTTAAACATCTTATGCTCTTGTTTCTTCTTTTGAGGTTCACACTTCACTTCAGGCGTTTTTCCTTTGTTCTTTACAGCTTGATTATCATAACCAAAATCCTTAATCTTGACAGCATTCTTCCAATTAGAATAGCTTTTTCATCCAGAACTGTAGAGTCATTGTTTCCTTCTTGATTTTTCAGTTATCCATGTTGATGGTTGAACATTTTATTTTACACATTCTGTTCCAGTTCTTTCTTTGAACGAACAAACTTTACTTCAACCCTTTTGCTTTTGTTCTTCATAGATTAATTGACATAGGCGACCCCTTGAACATTTCTATAATTCTTTCAAGACTTATTCATATTATCAAGTTGTGAATTAAGTAGAAGAAATTCACCCTTTAGACTAGAGATGGTGGACAGGTGCTCCAGCTTTTTAGTCTCTAGACCAGAGATGATAAATAAGTGCTCCACTTTTTCAGTCTCCAACTGAGGAACTATTTTATTTTTTTCTTCTACTAATTGACCCACCTCTTTATTTTTGAGGTACAACTCCTTATAAGAAACAAAAAGTTCTTCAAAGGACAACTCTTCACAGTTTGAGTCTCTATCAGAGTCACAAATTCCAGTTAAGGTTGTGACCTTCTTAGCACCTTCCTCGTCATGATCACTTTCAAAATCTTCTTCTGACCATGACATAGACAATCCTTTCTTCTGCTTCTTGAGATAAGTGGGGAACTCACTTATTATATGACCAAATCGTTCACATTCATAACTATGAACTCCTCTTCCTTGGATGGATTTGTCATTAGTTTCATATCATCCTCCAAGATCCTGCATTTTGTTGATGTCGAGTGACTTATCAAATGACTCGTTCTTGACATTTGATCGTGATTTCTAGTCAACCTTCTTTAACACTTTGTTGAATTGTTTTCCAAGTAACATAATAGCATTGGACATCCCTTATTTTGTATCCAAGTCACACTCATCTTTTGGATCATCAGTATTGGAGATAAAGGCTATGCTCTTCTTCTTTTTTATATTTTTCACTGATCCCTAATCACAAGTTCGTAGGGATCCCATAAGCTCATCAACCATCATGTTGTGTATGTATTGAGATTCTTCAATGGCAGTCACCTTCATGTCAAATCTCTTTGGAAGAGATCTGATAATCTTTCTTTCCAGCTTGGCTTATGACATCTTCTCCCCTAAGGCACCTGAGACATTGGCTATCTCAATAATATTCATGTGAAAGTCATGAATACTCTCATCCTACTTCGTTCTTAAGTTTTATAACTCCATGGTAAGAAGTTGAAGTCTTGACATCTTTAACCTAGAGGTTCCTTCAGGAGCAGTATTCAAGATCTCCCTAGCTTCTTTGGCCACAATGCAATTACTTATTAGCCTGAAGATATTCTGGTCCAATCCATTGAATATGGCATTTAATGCTTTGAATTTTAGAACTACTTTACTGGGGATTCCCGCTTTCTGTTTAAGGACACTCTGCTGGAGATATTTGACTTCTTCTTGGGGATATAAGCATTTAAAGAGAGTTAGTCATTTGTCGTTATTTTTGTTGAAGAAATTGATTTTTGTATACCCTGACTGGGGATAAAAGAGATGGATATTCCTCCGATGCACTATCTGACGAGGTTTCAGATACGGGTAGCTACTCTTCTGGGGATAGCCACTCTGAATGAAACCCTACTAGAGAAGAGAAATTTGTCCGGGAATTTGCAGTATTGGAGAAATAAGCTTTGTTGGGGAATTAAATCCTATAGATTGCATTGAGGAAATAATCTATAATGGGGATTGGAATTTCATAGGCTGCGCTGAGGAAGATCCACTGTATGCTAGGGAAATGATCAAACTTCCTTATCTATTAGGGATAGTTTGGGGAAGATTATTTGTTAAGTTATTCATCAGGGGTATGGAGGTGAACTGCTGGAAGTTTCCCCAATTTCTGTCTGACTTGCGTTTTAGACTTTTTGGGGAATGTATCTCTGTTGAAGATGAGCTTGTGCATATAGCTTTGTAAAGATAATTCCGTGGAAACTGCTCTGTGGGGATTTATGGATGACTTGAACATTATCTCAACTTTTAGAGCCCTCGGTAAATGCTAATCAGGTTGATAAGTCTTCTACTGATAGATAAGTGATGAGATAACGGGACATAGTTGTACACTTTAATCCCTAACTTTTTCCTAGACCGCCTTTGCAGGTTTTCAGTCCACCAGGATACCCATTTTTTCCC